TTGGTTGGATGGGTAGGTAGGTACGTAGGTAAAAAACAAAAAGCAAAGTGAATGAAGCAGATGTTTATAGAATATATAAGTGCTATAAACATGTAACGATATTTTGACTACTAACTCACCAAGTCTGCAGCCATACAGCTCGACTCTCAATGCAATGTAGCTTTGCCAGGATTTTGGATGAATTCTTACATGGCGGGCCTTGATTGGCTTAAGAAGCCTGTTWAATGTGACTTGATACCTGTCCGTGTTAGCAAAGAACATCTGCAACGATAATTGAGTTAACAATCTTCAACATATATAGCTCCTATAGACGTACTTAATTTTTTTTCTCTCACTAAACGCTTTTAAAAATTTTTTGCCAACATTTGGATATATTTGTCTCAACAATTTTTTTTGTAAGATCAAAATTGATGCGCGCACTCATTGTTCTGATGGCGAAGTATATTTCACACGATTGTAACGAGTTTTATATGTTACCCTGGGCAAAGCTCGGTAAAATAAAGAAATTCGGTTGAAGGTTGAAGAGACAAATCTAACCAAATGAAGTTAAACCCAACCTACAAACACCTATTTAATTTCTTTTTTTCGGTTCGACCCAAAACAATGGATTATTTTCAGAGTGCAATTAGTGTTGAAACTCGCAAATTTAAACATTTTTAACAGCGCGCACATTAACTAGAGTCCTGCATGAGAGTTCTATATATTTCTGGAAGTGTGCCGTCGTTCTTTAACTTATAATCAAACTTGTAATCAAGCCAACATTTAGACAGTGGTCCGATTTTTGAAAACAAAAGTAGTCTGTTTTAATAATTTTTCTCTCGTAATAAATATATTTTACGTAATTGAAAAATGGCCCTGACGGTAAAAAGAGGTCCGGTTTACGGGTACTTACATACGGCCCCGGGCTATTAGGCATCCCCAAATAAAACCTCTACAAACATACCCCGGAAGATGTTTATCTATAATGAGTTGAGGGAATAGATCAAAAATAAATAATATGGCTTATATTGACATCTTACCCTTATTCTTTGTCCCTCCTTATAAGGAATGAACCTGAACCCCTTAACACTATACGAGACAATGTATTTCTTGACCCATGAGTTTCCATTATAAGCTCCTTGAGTGGCTATACGTCTGACATAAGAGATGACTCCAAGATCAATCTGGAGCCACTGTCTAGTGTTTCTTATTCCAGAATACCAGGAGCCTGATGAGCTGTGCAGACGTGCTTTCCATGGTCTGTATGAAGTACTGGGATGGTATGAAGAGGCGTGCATCATGTTACGTAGGACGCGACCATCTTGGACACCAAGGGGCATTTCACAGCGGTCTGAAGATTTTAAATTTGGATTATTTTTAGTAAACTATTCTTTCAATTGTTTTCTGGTTGATGGGAATCATGCTTACACTATTTAAAACCATCTTAGGAATAAAACATGTAAAATGACAAAGAATTACATTTGACCCTCGGATTTTCGGTGCAAAAAGACATGCAAGTATTCTGACAGATTGTAGCCCCTTTGAAGTTAGAGTACACAGTTGGTATGCCTTTCGATAAGCCTACCTGCTTCACATCCGTAGAACTCCGTCCTCATACAGATACGAGAGTGCCATCCACGTGGATAGACTCTTACATATCTGGCAAGGACTGGTGGATTCATGGCTATTGTTACAGTGGAATACATATTCCTGTTGGCTGGGAAAGTCTGCAAAAAGAAAACGTACAGAATGAAAACTTGAAGAGCAAATTTACAGAAATATTCAGAGTCGTGCAGCATTGGTGCACTTGTCTCCCACTTCATATTTCCTCGACTCAACTTGAGTTTCACACGTGAGCAAAATTTGCTGTTCCTTTTCCCTACGAGGACTTTTTTCTTGCTGTTATTGTTGATGTTTGTTTCTTTGGGATCGACGCGAATATACGCACCAAACGACGCCACAAATTTCTAATGAGAATGACAACTGATACCTTTATGAGCTGTGTTTTGATCAAAATGGTAGCTTTGGCGCACTGTTGCACTGGTCAAGTAGTTATTGGGTCAATATGTAAAACTATCTAAATGCCTCATTATTTTGATTTATTTGTCTTACCTTGATTTTGTTTGTCTCTTTTTGGTAGCTCCAGTGGACTTCATCAGAGCTGTATCTGACGTAAAAGCTTTTGACAAAGTTATTGTAGGCGTGTCTACCTTGGATCGCAATCTCATTGACCTTCATTGCTCGGCCAAAATCAACCTGTTTTAAAAATGAAACATCAATTTGAATTCAATTTTAGACTCTACTAGCCCCAAGAAGATGCTATAAGCATCTTTGGGGGAAAGGGTATCGATTTATCAATATTTCGGAATATGGGTAAAAATTTAATAAATAATTAATAATAAATCAATAATATTTTTTATAGTGGGATACAAATTCAGTGTATGTATACTGGTTTTCAATTTGGCCCACACTCACACACACTACCCCTACATTAAATATTCTATGCATACAATTCAACTCATATGTTAATTTTTGATTACTGTGGAAGGAAAACCAGAGAACCTGCAGAAAAACCTTTTTGTCACAGTAGAAAACAACACATCAATACATCGTGATCTAGCTCGAGCCGAAGCGAACCCGAAGTTTTTTAATTACCCTGGATTACGGTATGTATAACCGAGATGATAGGTGCTTTAATTTTAACATACCTGGTACCACTGATAGTGGTTGTTATATTTTGCACACCATGCCCCCTTGTCACGTCCTTTGTTAACAAGGTACAAACGACCAAGTCTAGCAGCATAGTGTCTGTTGATCTCTGTTGACGCTGATAGCCTGGAGTCCTTGATGTGCTTGTTAGCCATGCCAAGAGCTTTGTTACAGTACTTGTCTGTTGGAAGACAGATAGGGTTTTAGGTCCAAAGAAATATCAAGGTTTCAGTAGATAGACTAATAGACTATGATAGACTATCTTGAATAGAACAGAGAATAATAAGGGCACTTAAACACCACATACAAAACGTGTAGTACTATACTGACGTCTCGTCCTTCTTCGATATAAAACGAAAGAAAATGAATGATGGTTATGACATTCATGATATTCACTAAGATAATTGGCTACTTCGACGATACGGCACCCTTTTTGGATTGCAAGGAATTATGTCAAGAGGGCCTCCAGGGAAGCAAATAGAGCCAACGTGAGTCTTGATTATTTTAATTGTTCTATATATATCGCCTGTTATTATTGCAGCCAAAGACGACACATCGATCATCTTTTGACATGAACGAAAGAAAAACACACAAAACTCTCTCTATATTATTATTGACATTCTTGTTTGGTTTTGCCCTCTGGACGCCCCAGAATCCAAGATGGTCACCCTTGCGTCAAATTACTCTATTGGCTTTGCAATAACAAAAATGACATCGAATAAAGTCATTAAGTAAGATATCAGACTATTATAAAAAAAATAGTACCTGCGCAGCCGTAGAGCTCTACTCTAAGGTTGATATAATAATGCCAGGTGAAAGGATGAATACGCACAAAGACAGCACTAATAGYACTGGGTAGGTTATGGAAAACCAAGGTGTTACGGTCATTGTTCCCAGCAAATACCTAATGAAACAAAATATATAATATTAGAACGTACAACTAAAACAAAACCGCCTGTTTTCGTGCAGTAGTGGATGGAAGGGAAAAATAGACCCCTTGCATTGATTTCCTAGAGGAATTGTTCTGGGGTAGGTAAATTAACATCCTAACCATCGCAACAAAAGCAATACAATTTACTTTGAAATTCTCGTTACCTTTGTTCTTCCTCCTTGTTTKACAGGAACAAATTTACTGCCGTGACGACTGTACGACATWGTGTAGCTCTTGACCCATCGGTTAGTGTTATGGGCTCCCTGTGTTGCTACGCCAGTCACTCGGGCAACATAACCAAAGTTGATCTAAATTTTTAAAGAAAATTCAAGAGTGAAAGTAAAGTAAAGTAATAATTTGGTCGTATACGTCGTATAAGATTGAATACATTTAAATAAGATAGTGGTTTTGAAGGTATTAGTTATGTAATAAGAAAAAATAACAATATTCTTGAAGCGAAACCACGTGACCGAACCTTGACGAGGAATGCTGTGTATAGCCAACCAACATGTCGTAACATGTCGTAACACCTGAAGAATTGTGAAATTAAAGAACTTTTTTCCTTCTTCTTACTCTTCTTATTATTTCATTCGTTTGTGTTTTGTTTTTTCTTTTCCTTTTCCATTCCTTCATTCTTTCTTGTCATCTCCATTATTTTCTAGATCCCCTTTATGTTACTATAATTACCTGTAGCCATTGGTTACGGTTTCGTGCCCTTGGATACCAATAATAGTGAGTATTCACTCTAGCCCTATACGCAGGGTAGTGAGCTGGAGTAGAAGACATCTGTCCATTACCAATACGACGGTCTTGTAATCCCAAGGGCATGCTACAACGACCTGAATACATTATAGAACAGTTAGCAAAGTCTCTTCTCCGTCAGGATCCGAAAAGAGCATGCGCAGAAGCAAAAAAAAAGATTGAGTCTTAAACATTACTCAGTAATTATTTGACTTCAATTTTGATTTTTAATCAGCTATGAATAAAATTCCATTGCATTTGATCTGAAATCCACCCTCAATTCCATAGTTCTGCTATCAGTGCTTTTCAAACCTTTAGATTCTAGTGGTACCTTCTGAGACCGCTTAGAAACTAAAGGTAGACAATGARTTCTAATACGCCACTGGAATGCTGCGCATGCGCATATCATGTGTCATTAACGTCTAACACCCTTACTCAATCTTTGATTGACACTCCTTACAGCCTGGCAGCTGGTATGAATAAAATGATAATCTTATATTTCTTTTGTACGCTATTACAGACCTTTAAAATGGCTTATTGGGAATTTTTGAGTATTTTTGTGCATTATTCCTACTTCACAGAAAAAAGTATGAAAAAGGTAACCCAAACATTTGATCGAAAATTTTGTATCAACGTATCTTACTTGTTGCGCAACCATACAGCTCGATTCTCATCGAGATGTGACTTCGCCAGCCCCAAGGATGAATACGAACAAATCTTCCCTTGATGCGTGGGAAGAAACGATGCTGTACGACGCTGTTGCGGTCTCTGTTGCCAGCAAAATACTGAAAATAAGGAATAAGGAAACAAACATGAAAACTATGAAAAATGATGAAGCTTTTTCTTTTTCATGTTTTATCTTTTCTCTCTCTCTCTCTCTCTCTCTCTCTCTCTCTCTCTCTCTCTCTCTCTTATTTGATTATCCTTTTTTGAAGATATGTTATTTCCGTTTCCTAGTCTCCTACTCGACCCACCATTCTGCTTCCACGTATGTTTCTGTAATCAGCAAAGTTCGCTCCATCGACGCTGTGAGTGATGTAATACTGCGTTACCCACTGGTCAGCGTCCTGGCGACCTTGGGWAGCAATTTTAACCACCCTGGAAGGACGGCCAAGATCGATCTAAAATAAATATGCCACATTCAGAACAATACTGCATTAAAAAGGGACAAAGATGAAACTTGATGAAGATAATCAGAAAATGACACTTCAAAAAATATGAAAAATAAAATTAGGTGAAAATACTAAAAACGAACAAATTCCATCGAGAAAAAGTGTGATTTCTTTAGTATTTTTATGTTTAGCTTCGCATCCACGATACTTTTAAGAAGGGTCAATACGGAATGATAAGGAAAACTGAGAACTTAAAAAAAGATGTGAGAAGGGACTCAGTTATAAGTGTAGTCTAGTGCGAATGAGACTTAAAGTTGGCACTTGAAAATTTAGTATATATTAGAGACCCCCTATGTGTAACCTAACCCGTCCCGCTCCCCCTACACCGCGGTCTATTCAAAAACGAAATAATTTCAACACTGATATTGAAAACTGCAAACCTGGAACCACTGATAGCGATCRTTGATTCGAGCACTCCAAGCGCCAATCTTGTGTCCGACTCGTGCGATGTGAAGGCGTCCACGCGTTGCATCATGGTTGTTATCCCTCTGTGAGGATACCATGAGGTTCTTAGGTCCCAGTTTTCTGCTTTGCATTCCAAGGGGCTGGTTGCACAGTTTACCTGAAATAGAAGTTTATGTCAGGTTTTTTGCTTTATTAACAAAACCATTGGCTGTAGGAAGCAAAGGTATAATTAGGCTCAACTTCGAACTTCACATGATCCGAACCAAATTGAAAGAATGGATAATAAGGCGTCCTTATTTGTTGTAAATGGGTTCGGCTCATGTAAAGTTCGACGTTCGACCTTAGCCTTGGTGAAAGCCTACTTATGGTTTATCACAAAT